CCCCAGTTTTTCGTCAAACAACTTTTTTTCTGTCTTAGAAAAATCAGTTCTACAACATATCAAAAAATGTTTTTCCTCCGGAGCCTGACTTTAATGTTGTGCTGAGGGTTGTTGAATGTTGGTGAGCACAACAACATTGCTTTTTTCTTTAGAGAATTTGATATCACTATTTTTACATTTAAATGATGTTATTCATGCAGAAACAGTCCAACAAAAGCTAAAATCCGAACTAAATTTTTACCCAGAACAATCACCTTTAATTTATTTTTAGTGGTTTATGATATACAGTAATTTTAGGCTATTATACAAATGTCGTGGACCAGGTTTTGAATACTGATGACACAAAAACACACTACATGTACACCAATATGAGTGGCTGCTGGTTTATATTTATCTTCCAATCCAACAATCACATCCCCACGTCAAACCAAAGAAATATAAGAAAAACAAAAAAAACCCTGCAATCGAAAACAACACATCACAGTCACGTTATTTAGAGATGACCTCAACTATAATATCATAGTACAACATCATTATTACCATTTATATCAATACTAACATTCATATTAATCATCATTAGTAGCTATCATTAATTATACAGCATAGCTTGGCCACCCTGACTTACCCAACAGAGTATGTATATACAAGCTTCAACTACAGAAAACACCAGAAATACCTGCTTAAATAATAATAAGTGATAAATATACAACTTATTTTTTAACAATTCACCTATTATATACATCATCACACGTCAATTAATAATGCTATATTCCTTTGTTTACTTATATAGCGCCACGATCGGCTGCTCATTGCCCATACTTTATACACAGAAAACTGAAAACCCCTACTCTATGAACTCAATGTTAAATTGTATAGATGGGTAAGACAACACTACAACTGATTAACAATATATATTTAAAAAAAATCTCTTAACTTCTACACTAGGCATTTATAATGAAATCGTTAATTAGCCTAGACAGAGTCTCAGTCTGCCCTACGGCGGTCTAGCTTCCCCTAGACAAGGTGATGTACATACGAAAACTAACTTAGGCTTCAAATCAACGATGCAATCAAAGCTTCTCTAATATTCTAATATACCTATAAGCTTATCTAGTAAATATTGTTACATGATGATACTTCTCCATAATATGATAACTAAAATAATGTTTACTTTTACACATTCTGAAAATTTATTAAAAATCTTAGTTTTTAGCGACACCCACTAAATACTATCTTTAATTATCTCTCCATGAAGTTTACTGCATATTCACGGCTGACTGCATAACAAAAATATATTAATACGCCACATTAGTATCGTCTCGGATAGGTATCGGTATACTGTATTTATAATTATACACTTGACATTGCGACAACACTATTGTTATGATTCATTAAAAAGATTATTCTTTTAAATAATTATATACTACTGTATTTATGTTTATTATGATTGCTTAGCAACAATTTCAAGGTCATGACTGTTTCTAAATTTCCGAGTTTGAAACGTCTTATACGCCAAACCTTATGTCGGAAAAATAAAAGGACGGTCATTGTCAATGATTTTCACATTTTTTTTTGTCCAAAAAACATTCCGTCCTGTCAATCATCCTGTGCATCAACAAATTGTAGGCAAACTGTACGTCACAATATTTTTTCATCAGGCGAATTGCCTGTCCGGAAAAATTATTGCCGGCGAAATGTCCTGTCGCCAAAAATAAGTGTCGGCGAAATAACGTGTCGGCGAAAGTCCATTCGGCCAATTGTCTGCCGGAGAAACGTGTGCTGGCGAATTGGCATTCGGCTAAACGTCCCGCCACAGTTCTGTTGGTTGCATACACACATGCACACTTCAAAATCTAGATGATATATCACTTTCAACTTTAACCGAATGACCGGCATGATATTAAATTATATGCAGTATAATTGGTGTATGGTTTTAAATGTCACACTTTAAAATCTACTTAAAATCTTACTTATTTTCTCTATGGTATAAACAGTATAATTGGTGTGGTTGCAAATGTAGCACTTCCACATTTACATAATAGACATATATCTGCTTCAACCGAATATCCAGTATGAAAATAAAAATAAAGTAGACCTATACACACTATATTTGGTATGGTTGCAAATGTTGCACTTCAAAATTTACATAATGTATCAGTTTAAAATTGAACAGAATATCCGGTATGGACTTGAAAATATAGTATATACAGTGTAATTGGTATTTATTTTACTCTACATTATGACTGGTTACATAGTACTCCACAAATCGGTGGGTATCATAAAAATATCAATGGAACTATAAAGTTATTCTTTCTTTGTTAGTAGATTGAAAGTAATTTGATCATTTGATAATTTGTACATCATTTCTGTATATATTGCTTAACATTTTCAATATTAACAATAATTTCGTAACAATTTAATCAAAGTATACAATATTTAGAATATTTCAAAATATGTACAGCAACATAATTGATATTGCGTAAAAAACAAGACATATCAGTAGGTCTACTTAAACAGTCTTTATAATTAAATCCTACCTGCAACATTCGTCATATTTACATTAAAAATTCAGTGTAAGTGTTTACAGATTTAAATGATTATTGGTCTATATAATCATAATAATAATAATAATAATAATACTTTTAAGTATGCACTGCATTTCACTTAGGTCAAATTAACATTTCATGATCGTTTTAGTTTTGTCTGCATTTGACATATTATGCTTGGAACTAAATTGCAATCAAATCTGTATGAAACCCTTGCATAAAGACCTTGAGGCCCTAATTATTGGCTGTCCACTAGACAAAAATAATTTTAAAATAAAAAGGCGCATTTATACAAGAAGAAATGAACTCAGACTAGATTTGGCATACATGCGTCAGCAAACTTGTTTTAAATGGTATAGAATCTCAATAAGTATGGGGGTTAGGTGATGCTGTGGTTCACGAAATGGGCCTTTGAGAAATGTTTAATCAGAAATTATTTAACTATTTTCGTATCTAATACCTTGAATCGTGTAAATACTTTGCTTCTATTCAGTATAAATGGTTTCACTTTCTATAGGCCTATGTCCTTTATTCTGTACAGAGTACGAAAATATCTTCATGTAAACATTCATGCGCTAAATTGGTTGCCCTTATATTCATAACCTATAATAACACTATATACATAGCAAACTAATTGCATTCAGCATTGATGACATTTTCCCGTATGTTTAAAGAGTTACGTAATGAATCGGATTATATATAAAATTAATTATTTACAGTATGCAAAACATTGCAGTTAATTTATCACCGGAAGTTAAAATAGGTAATTAGTTTCACTATTGTAGGCCTACACTACAAAATTAATCAACCTTTAAGACAGTAACCTTAAATTTAAAAATATACACTTACAATTTACAGCGCAAAATAGTTTCGAACAAAAATCAAATCGAAATTACAAAAATCAGTAATATCTATAGAATAATCAGTATGACTGATTAAATAAATTCTTGTAATAAAAACTGAGTTAAATACAAAAGTAGCATTTTGGCAAATATTAAACAAAGTATGTTTTATTTGAACCCTACGTTTCACCCATACTCAAGTCTGTTTTACACGGTCAGTGATGTAACTGCTAGACAATTATACCAGTTACACAATTATTAGTTCGGTATTGCTGTCTAAGCAATGTGATATTCTAATTTTGACAATCGAAGAGAGAACCCGCGCTCGTGCAACTTCGACAAAATTGCGTATTACACTATCGTAAGCGGTAATTACCTCTTCTTCCACTGTACTGGGTTGACAAGCTGTTTGCAGAGTGGAAACTTGATTTCCTTAGGATCATTGACAAGTTTGCCGTTGGCGTTCATTATTACTGGTAAAGTTGGACTGCAGAATTGAGTTCCCTCGATCATAGGATCAATTGATTTTGAAGCTTCTGACATATATGTAAATGAAATGCACCAGCCACTCGAAGTTTTCGCACATCGATGATTTCTTTTTTGAACTCGTTCAGCAGAGAATGTGTTAATTCATCGCATTTAGTACGTTAACGGTTCCGGCGACGGTGTGTTGATTATCGGCAAAGTAAATAGATATACGCATTCCAGAAAAGTTGGTCTCCAGGTGGTCTGGAAGTGTTTCGCAGCTCAAACCAAACACACTGACCATTCCACTTCCAGTTTCATAGATCGTCCACGCTCTTGGACCAAACGTAATGTGTCTTCAAAGTCTAGAACTTCAGCATACACCAGTGCAACAAATTCTCCCACACTCATGCCAGCTACGTGGGTAACACTAGCTGTTGTATCTGCTCTTTCTATCTTAAGTTGTTCAATCTTTGCAACACATCCCACAAGCAAAGCTACTTGTACAAATTCTGTAGATCTTAGCTTTTGTGTCAGCATATTGTCATTATTCAGGAAGATTTCAAGCAAATCGTATCCAAGTACTTTTTTTTTTTTAGCTCTATCGAATATTTGTCGTGCTCCAGGACTCTTCACCATAGATATGCACATTCCCTGTTTTTGTGCCCCTTGACCAGAAAACATAGGCAGAGTGCCTGATGAGCTCGTGTCACTAACAAAATCTACTAGACCTGTTGTTCTAGTGATAGAATGACTGATTTTGTTCACCTCTGAGATAATAGCCCTTCTGAGGAATAACATTTGAAATTTTTCATAGCTCAAGTCATTATTAATCTGCTCCAGTATTTGATTAACGATATAGTTTGCAAGGGAATTGAGTGTTAGCTATTTCAAGTTGGTAACCGATGCGCTTTCGTACAAGATTCATCATTTGTATTGCAAGGAGGGTTTCTCCACCAAGTGCGTTGAAATTGCCTTCCGGATCAATGTCCTCTATTCCAAGTATATTTCACCATATAGCTTTGAGTTCCTGATATATTGTATTTCCATCAACTACTGAGGCTACTTCATTGGCTTGTGTCTCGTCGTTCTCTTCTTCTATTTCATCGCACTTTTTAATGGGATCGAATCGATATACTTCAGTCTCCCACCAACCTAAATTTGACTTACCTTCGTTGGAAATTTGTGACGAAGAAGATGGGCTACAAATAAATAGAAATTTCTCAACGTGGCTTCGTTCGTTTTTATCTTGAGGACAAGAATAGATTGACTCAAAGCCAGCTTCAAATAAAACTCGTTCCCACTTTTCAGGTTCTATCATGGGATCAGCTAGTCGCAGATCGTAAGCTTCAAAATACCACCACCCATCCAGTATGCCCCAAGCCAGTGTTGCCCACGTGTCGTTTCTTGCACTTTCAATAATAAACAATGTACCATTATCACCAAGACATGACTTGAGGATCATTACAGAATCTTTAACACTTCGTGTGGTGTGTATAACATTGTACGATATTACAATATCGAATAACCCAAAAAGATCTTGCTTTGGAGGACTTTTTGTGATGTCAAATGTTGAAAACTTATCATATACAAATAGTCTGAACTAATACATAAATTTCAAGTCGCCTTGAGGATATATAACAGAAAGTGGACTCATCTCACCTCAAAGAACTTTGCGGAAATGTCTCGAGCAATAGAGAGGGGATCTAAAGCAATCAGCCCATGCTAAATACTTTGGCAGATAAATGGCAGATTTTGCAATAGCTTCTGCATCAACATCTAAAAAGTCTTCACACTTGAACTTAATTACATCAAGACAGCAGAGTGATTCATTCTGACCTATTGCTTCCAGCAGGTTGTTCTTCTAAAGTTCTCTGATCATTACAAAAAAAAGCTTCTTGTGTCTTTCAAGCATCCCAGTGGAATAAAATGCTCCTTCAAATGATGTTTTCTGTGTGTTTTGCAATGTGTGTTCAAGAATTGTGCTACGTAATAGATTGACTATAATGGCTGCACAGAAAGTGGTAACGATCCTACCACTTCCCTGACGTTCGCTATTTTTTTCTGGAATACATCAAGAAAGTTTTCCTTATATAGAGATCTTTCCTCTTGAGAAGAATTTGCATCTAGCCAATGACGAGACTTTTGGTAGAAGGCCACATTGACCCGAAAGGATGATTCTGGTATGATTGTCATTAAAGAGACGACTGATATCTATGACGCCATTCTCCAGAAATTGTAGAATATAAGGCCGTGTATCTATATCCAAATTATGTTGTAAATTTTGCAAGTGAATATCGGACCTCGTAGTTGATAAGCGCATGATATATTCTACATTTTCTGTGGTGGAGATCATGTCTAAGAGTTTCAACAATTGTTCCGTAGTTCTAGCATCTAATACCATGCGCCAACTGATACCTTGATACTCTTTCAGTAGCTACAGCTAAACGCAAGCCTTCAATTAAACCCGTGTACAGTCCTACGGCCATCTGTTCGATGTAGACTTTGTATAACACACCTTGATTTATCATATGAACTAACGTCTCCCCAATGAAGATAATTCTTTCTGGATAAGAATGGCATGACAATTTTTTTCCAGTCAGACCATAAGAACTCACAGCTGCTGCTCGTTTGCTATTTCCATTTGTTTCCCAATGTATAATAGTAGATGGAACATAAAGAGGTGAATTTGTGAACTCCGAATGGGGTATCTTGAATTTAGCCGTCGGTGAAATGCTTTGCATTGCCATGCATGCCAGTACTCTAAACACGCCTAATAAACCAGCAGCTGAATCAAGATGGCCAAACATAATTTTGGAAGCACCTACGGGCAATGGTCTTGCCCGCATGTCTTCTCTGAATACCGTAGATAGCGGAAACAATTCTATTTTATCACCAAGATTAGTCCCTGTGCCTTGCCCTTCGACAAATGTGATATCCGACGGGTTCAGCTTTGCAGCTTTTAACGCATCATGTGTAACTTTTGCTTGTGAACTGGAGCTTGAAGCAGTTACTCCATTCCCATGGCCTATACTGTTCGATGCTACACTTTTTACAACAGCGTATATCGGTTTCCATTTACTAAGCGCCATATCTAAAGGTTCTAATACAAACATAGCACTCCTTCACCTATGGTAGTACCACTTGCCTTCTTGTAAAAGGCTTTGCAGTGGAAATCAAGAGACAAGATACTAATTTATCCAAACACGCCTGCTTTGGATGGGTATACCACGATGTTTACTCCTTCAGCTGCAAAAAACCTGCCAAAGTTCAGCGAGTGACATCACCCCTCCTGGATGTCTCAAACCTATTCCTGTTATTGCTATTTCTGTCTCGTTACAAGAACTGTTGGCCTCTATTAATCGCTCGTAGGTAATCTTACACGCACCCTCCTACTTTCTCTTGGCTTTTGATGAATTCTGCCAATGAGGATATTGTAGGATATGAAAATAAGTCTGCGATTTCTATTTTGAAAATAGAGTTACTCGTTATCAGTGACCAGAATCGAACAAGTATAAGAGAGTGGCCACCTTGTTCAGTGAAAGTCCTACTATTGCTTACAAGATCATGATGTTGTAAATCGAGAGCTTCAGCAAACCATTCTTTTAATTTCGTAATTGTTGCTGTATTTGCGTCGATTTGCTGTGTGTGACAGATCGGCGTTGGAGTATGTAAAATTTTCGGAAGAGCTTTTCTGTTAACTTTTCCATGGGATGTGAGAGGAACTTCCCTTATGATTTGGATTTTATCGGGCAACATGTAGTATGGTATCTGACTTCTCAATTTGCTAGTCACTCGCTGATGTGTTATTGTATTTCTTTGTTGGAAACCTTCTTCTTTACCAAGAAAGCGCACAGAAATTCTATCTCGCTCTTTTCATCATTTGAAATGACAGTTACATGTGCTTCTTTTACTCCATCGATAAGGCCTACTATTTTGTTTTCTATTTCGGTGGTACTAATTCTGAAGCCTCTTAGTTTAACTATGTCGTCCAATCTACCTATAAGTTCTATGTCTCCTGTTGGTAGCCAACGGGCAGAATCTCCTGTTTTCAAAGCCTGTCTTTGGAAGTAATTTATTTGGACCATCTTTTCATCTCCAGTTGCAAGTATATCACCACTAATGTATAACTCGCCTATGGTTCCAACAGGGC